CGTATTCATTCGCAAAATTTATGAAACTATAAAAGTAAAATAACACAAGTTCAAACACACGAAACTAGGAGTGTGTCCGAATTCTCCAATGTGTCGACACAAGTTGTGTCGAGGAGTGGAGCGGAGTAGTGTCGAGTGAGCCGTGATTGGTCGGATTGGACGCTCACGCTACTCCGCTCCACTCCTCGACAGAACTTGTGTCGACACATTGGAGAATTGGGACACACTCTAGTAATTTAAAGCCAGGACGGCCATTCCTACCGATATATGATACATCTTATATCATGACTGCTAGTTCCGGCTACTTTATTGAAACTTGTTAGCATCTTCTCCTTGTCCGTTTCCCATTCTGCGAAATACTATACTCCGACTTCTACCGCTCGAACGACTCACCTGCAGGATGACTCAGCCTTTCCGATAACTGGTGTCAGCTGTGGAAGGGTCTCCTCGCCGTCTCGTGATCAGTCCTACGTGCCGTGTACTGCTAGCAGAAGAGACGCACTCCACTCCAGACGCGGCTGATGACTGACTGGCGGCGGTGGGCGGTGGCGGTGTGGTCCGGGTACGGGCAGCCACGCACGAGAGTCGAGGTGGCCGCCACAGCGGCAGCGGCCAGACATCATCTCCCCCCCTCCCCCCACCTTCTCCCCTTATCCCATTCGGTGGTGCGGTGGCAGGGCGTAGCTGGAACCATATTATGAAAAATTTCTCGTGCGTTTCGGTTAAAATGACACAAGTGCAAATCAAATGTAACATCAAAATAGGGTATTTCAATAGGGTACTCCGGGGCTCGGCTAGACCGGAAGGAGAAGAACAAAAATCGTCGGGCGCGGGGAGGAGCGGGGCAGGGTGGGGGCAGTACCCCGCTGCTCCCCGCACCCGACCGGCCCGGCGATTTTTGTTCTTCTCCTTCCGGTCTAGTCGAGCCCCAAGGTACCCTATAGCCAGACCAGCCTAAGGTCCGTCTTTTCCTCACCCCCTCTCGCCTGCAAACTCCTATGCTGCCCGTGCTGTTAAAAAAGACGGACCTTAGGCTGGTCTCACTGTAAAGAGCGCTGCCAGGAACTAAGAAGAACAAAAACGGATACAGAGAGCGGTGGTAGGGGCGGGCGCGCGGAGGAGCGGCGGGTGGAGGGGATCACTGTTAAAAAACAGTTGTAAATTAACAACGAAAGTGTAGTTAAGTTTGTTAGCAACACATGTTGTTTTTTAACAACACATGTTGTAAAAAAACAACAATGAAAAAAATCTCGGAAACAACGTTTCTGACCGAAAGTAGTCACTTTTGTTCTGCTCCTGGAAATAAAAGTTGTAATATTACAAGTGTGTTGTTTTTGAACGAAATGTGTTGCTAACAAAATTAACCACATGTGGTACACTTTTCTTGTACATTTACAGCAAAGTAATACCAAGTTGTTTCTGTTGTGGGCCAATATAAGCCAATTCGTTGTTTATTAACAGCTCTGTCGTTTCAAAAATGCTTGTTTTTTTACAACTATTTTTAACAGTGGAGCCTCCCCGCCCGCCCTCCACTCCTAGTACTAGCGGTACAACCCGAATATCAGATGGATACTGCAAATTGTGATACCAGCAAGCCACTTTGCACACTTGTTCCTAACACCCAAATGGTCGATTTGGCCCGTAGCACCTATCTGATTTTTGCTGCGGGGGTAGGTTTTTCGGTGGTAGTATGAGAAAACTACCCCCCACCACCGCTCGACGTGGATAATGTTGGCCAACCCAACATTTGTTGGCCAACCCACCAAAAAAAAGAAAAAGTTGGCCAACAAAATAAAGATACGCTTAAAAATAACTAGCTATATGTACGCCAGACCACGTCTCGCGTAACAGGCTTCGCGATATCTCACGAAACTGTTACGCTGCGACGCGCCTGGCGCACATATAGCTAGGCGAGGGGGTTTTCTCTTGCGTAATACAGTGTACACCGAAACTAGGAATTACGCGTAGTGTAATACCGAAAATTAGGAAAATATGACCTCAAATGGTCGAACTTGGTTTGTAAAGCTTGTTTAAAACCGTCGTAATATCGCGTAATACATGCAATATGTAATACACTGTACACGAAAAATCCAAGTGAAAACCCCCTCGTAGCTAGGCCTGCGGCGCTGACACCCGAGACGAGTTAACAGAAGTGTATATACAATTTGTCGATGTTAAGTATTTTTTAAACGATTTGGTCATTTTCAAATCATTTTTGTCAAGAAATGCCCCCGAGCACCCAAACGGTGCAAGATAGAGCAAAACGGACGAAATTTTCGTCCATAAGAGTTCTATTTTCACGAGTTACCCTACAGGAGACCATAAAAAAATATTTGGAAAAAAAAGTATTTTGTTGCCTGTGGTTTTTAGCCCGCCCTTCTGCTTTTAAAAAAGCATTACTAGCCCGCCCTTCTGCTTTTAATAAAAGCAGAAGTAGAGCCCTGTGGGCGAAAATTTTGTCCGTTTGACTCTATCTTGCACCGTTTGGGCGCTAGAGTGCTTTTTTCGAC